GAGGGTGAGCGTGTGCAGAGTAATGGGGAAAATAGGCAGAAGAACGACAAAACCGCAAATTAAGGGAGCAATCTGTGTAATTACAGCTAGCGGGACGTCGGCAATTTTGTTTCTAGATTAGGGAGTTTTGAGCATACACGATATAAACTTACTTTTGTATCTAAATTAGAGCCAGTTTAATGGCATGCATGATTACATCTATTATATAGTAATCAAGATTAAATTAACTGAATAGACGTGAACACAGAGAGGATATATTTGAAGGTATAAATTTAGAAAAAGAAACATTATGAGATTTCTCTAGTATATGAATTTATCGATATTAGCTCCAACATAAATACGACCTTAGAGTTCTGTGAAAGCCTATATTCCTTAGTTTGGTCTCATTTCTATAATTTCTACGAAAATTTCTGAAGCGTGGTTCTCTTTAGGCGTAGTACATTTTTAGAGGTCTTATTTTTGTTTACCAGTTTGTCTATTAGAGTTCTAAAAAGCAATCATATGTGTCTTTTTCCAACCATAAAAACTCAAATCAGATTTTTGAAGTAGCTATCGACCTGTTTTACTGTGACATATTCAGGTTTATTGTGGTTCTCTTTCCTCTTATGATTTTTTGGTTTTGATAATTTCTTCTTCTGTGTCCATACACAATTTTTCAAATGATAATTTTGTATGGACACAGTAATCAAGAAGATTGAACAGCTTGTAAAATGCAGCTTATTTAAATATTATCTATTTAAATAGGAGTACTCGAGCGAATTTTCGCTCGAGTGATCCCATCACTACTTTTAAGCACAAACAGTTTTTTTAAGAACTAACTTTTCGAGTTTTTGTATTGCATTTCTTGAAATTGTGTGTTGAAAATATGCCGAAGCATTTCGAAGCAAAGAGCTTGTAGCTTCCCTGTTTTTTTTACTATTTTGAATGAGTTCGTGACAATAAAGGTCCTTTATTACCCTTGACTGCAGTTAGAGTAAGTTTGATTGATAAGCACATTATACCACTTTCAAAGTTAGTTTTTATTAAATTCTGTGATTATTATTTTGTGCATTAATAGCACCCTCTTACTTGTTATTACCACTTATGGCGTTGTAAGATGTAATAAATAACCCATAATAACGTTTATAATAATCTTCAAAATGCACTAGTTTTTGCCAATATGTAATAAGTAAAATAAGCTATAAAACAAATACATCAATTAATCACTAAAATATTACTTATTAAATTAAAAATTAAACGTAAAATTCTTTAAAAATGATATAATAAATACTGTTGTTTGTCAATTTTAAATTAAGATTCATCTCATAAATCCATCACAATCTGGCAGCGCTGTCGCCATCGTTTGTCACTCAAAATTGATCACATGCATCGAAAATTGTTTTGTGATTACTCATAAGTATTATATTCCTTCCTTTATTCTTTTCATATTACTAGAGTAAATAATTTATTCGTATTGCGTTGTTGAAATTTTAAAGTTATATACCAATTAAAATCGGGTCAAAGGCTCTTTCCGGTTCTTAACCAAATTGCCCTAGAAAACAAATTTATAAACGAGCTTTTGATAAATCGCGAATGTCGTAACAGTTTGGGCTGATGCCAAAAGGTCGTTAAAGAATTTATGCGTCATTTATTTGTAAGGTCTATAACTCAATTGTTCCGATAATATTGGAGCTGTTATTGATTTGATTGTATGTGAACAGACTGACCGTTATATGCGATGAACGCTATAAAATATTACAGTCATATTTTTACATAATTATACTTATTTAACTGAAATTACCAAACCAATACCAAATGTTTAAGTAGGGGCTAATTACAATAATTAATAAAAATACAATTGACAAATAACACAAAACTTGCATAAGACTTAAGATAATCTAAATTACATTTAGACTATGTTAAGTTTTGTGGATCATAGGTTTTGTAATAAAAATTTTAAGAAATTAATATACAGGGTGGTACGGATTGTAATCGTGAAACTTCGGCAATATATTCTGCAGAAAAAAAGTAAAATTTCGCATACGGAGATACGACTTCTAGAAGTTTTATTTTTTAAGTATTTTTCCAATTAATAACAGTAATAAGTAATATAAGGACTAATATGAATATTTGGATAAAAATTGGTGTACGGGTGATTTTCTTTACATGATAAACTCGATTTCGGTGTTAGTTGAGATTAATTTTAAAAAACGCTACCTACATATTTTTTACTTTTCGCGTCCGTACCATATAAAATAATATACATTTCCTCCGCCATTTTTTAGGTAAAAAGATCTCTTGACAAAAGTTCTACAAGAAACCGTTTTCAAGATATGTAGTAACGAAACAGAAATAATCAAAACATGTCAAATTGGCAAAAAATAAAATGGGCACTAGAGAGTTATTAGACTGAAATAATAAATTTTGAAATGTTTTTCTGTCAAAGGTTCAAGAGGAATTGTTTAATCATAAATTTTTCTAGAAAATTTATTATTAATTTAAATTAATAAACGTTTCCAAATTCATAATTTCAGTCAAATAACAATGAAGTCAAATCTTTTTTTTTTGCCTATGTTGACATGTGTTGATTTGGATTCTAAATATTTTGTAAATTAATGTCAATAGCGGTTTTACCAAGAGAGCTATTTAAGTAAAAAACGGCGGAAATTTCACCGTTTTTCTTTCTAACTAGCGTAATATAGATACAGACAAAAGTTATTACTCTTCAAAACAGTTAAAAAAACATGTAGGTGCCGCTACAAGTAGGAGTCGTATTGATATCGAAATAAAATTTGTCATGTCAAAAACCACCCAGACACCAATTTTTCATCCAAATATCGACGTTAGTTCAGAAATTAGTTTGGAAAACCGAAATAAAAAATGAAACTTCTTCACCCTAGGCATGTATCTCGAAACAAATCGTTTTAAGACATAAATTTATAGAAACATTTTTACTTCTTTTTTAGCAAATAAAAAACACTAAACCACTGACTAGCTAATCAAAATTTACTTTTACACTGCACGCGCGTTTTGCTAATCATGTTAGCATCAGCAGATGTGATTATAAACTCAACTCAGTTTATAATCATCTGCTGATAATGCTAACATGGCTAGCGAAATTCTAAAAAGTGTCCAGTGTAAAAGTAAAAAGTGTTTTGGTGTATATTGTGTTTTAGTGACTTTATTTTGCTAATGTAACACCAAACGTTCCAACCCTCAACATGTCTTCTTTATTTTATGTGAATAGGCCACCCAACCCTAATATAGTTCTAACTAACCCTGTATATTTTCTTTAATTTACCAACTATTTATTTACTTTTAGTATAATTTTTGGAACGTTAGTACTGGGAAAAATAAAATAATTTGCTTAAATTTTTGCAAATGAAAATGTAAATATCAAGATCATATGCCACGTTACATTACTAATTCACACCATAACTAAATAACATAAAAACTAGTTAAAGAGTTCTACTTACTATAATCAATACGACACTTTGCTGCTTATTTTTCGTTTTTGAACGCTACCCATACCAAGGCTGCAATAAAGAAATACGTGCTAAGCGTTGCCATATTTCGCATGTCGGTAAAGGACTCCACCAGCGGAACTGTTCCCCCCATCGTCCAATCGCAGCACAGATCGCAGGGAAAGAGCATCAGCCAGAAGTTCACGCCGATCAAATAATGATAAGTGAGCTGGCGCGTTGTGGTTGGTGCCACCGATGCCGGATTATCAAAACGCGTAAACACTGGCAACTGGGAGCCCATAATTTGCAGCCGGCCTAAGAGCAGTATAAACGTAGTGACAGCCATGGCGGCCAAGCGTTTGGTAGGTCCGTTCGATTTGGGAAAATGATAACTGGATTTTGTGCTTAACGCTGCCTTGACGAATTCCTTTACGTGATTAGGCCTAATCTAAAAACAAACAATATTTAGAAAAAGGAAAAAAATTAACTTAAAGCTTCCTAGGTCAGGAAAAATACTTATCCGTCTTAATCTGTCTTAATTTACCAAAGCGGTCCTCATAATGGGGCAGTTGCCGAATTTGGCAGATGTGTATTTTCCTTGACCTGGCAAGCCATAGAATTAAGGGGGTAATTCTTGCACCTATTCTAAGAGGAAAACTTCATATGAAAGTATGTCCTAACCATTTTAATTTCCGATACAGGGTGGTAAAACTTTCTAAAAAACCTTTTTTTCATAATAACTCTGATTTTATTATAGATACCTTTATGAAACTTGATGCACGTCTTCTGTACCCTCAAAAATACCTTCTATACAATAAATTTTGATGTAAGAAGAATTTATTTCAACGAGTGCCATCCATACGGGTTTTATATTGAATATTTTGGTGAAAAAAGTGATTTCTCTTAAAATAGAAATTATTTTCAAAATGTCCATTCATTTCTAAACATTTTTTATCTCTTGATTTTTTAGTCCGAGGTATAGTTTTTGCTTAAAAAATTAAAAGTCAGTTCCACTTCAGTAGTCAAATCGCTGAAAACTGATTTAGTGACTGCTGTGTGGAAATTATTGCTGCATCGGCTGGAAGGAAACTAAGAAATAAAACAATTTTTTGTAGATCAAAATAAGCATTTCGATGCATGGAAGGCGTGTATCAAATATATCATCAGAGTTATTTGGAAAAAAAATAGAAAATTTTACCACCCTGTGTCTGAAAAGTTAAGATGTTTAAGAAATATATTTTTTTCTAAGAAACTTAAGTCAAGAATCACCAAGAATCACCTCCTTAAATATTAACATGTCATTAAGGAACACCCTGTATATTGAGTGAAATTTGTTATATTAAGTACCCCAAGATGGTTATTTCTTAAACAAGAAAAGATTAAAACTAAACAAAGGAAATTCATATTGATAAAACGTCTCACAACTTTATTTAAAATATTTTTTTGTTTACAAAATGTATTAATTTCATCTTAAATAAAATCGCCAGTTCAATATTTTTTACATAGTTATTTCTTGTGTGTGTTGTTTTCAAATCGTATCAAAAACTGAAATTATTTATGAAAGAAGAAGAAGAATGTAGATAAGCAGGATTATTTTTATCAGCAACATAGGCCATTCAGCAGTTTATATTAATATGCACTACATTTAATTAATTTGGTATGTTTAGTAGCATGGAGTACCTATGGAAGAAATTTAATCAAATTTAAATCAAATCTAGAATGCCACTTTATCTAAAGAATTAAACTGCAACCAGACCAATGTGTACTACCAGTCACGACCTATGCATGCAAAACCTGGACACTTCAAACGAACATTATAAGGAAACTGCAGGTCGCACATCGCTCAATGGGACAAAATATGCTGGAAATATCCAAGAAGGACCGTAAAAGAATAGTGTGGATACGACAAAAGACCCAGGTAATAGATGTCATCCACAGAATCAAATCCCTCAAGTGGCAATAGGTAGGACACCTGGCAAGAAGGACGGACTACAGAGGGACCACAAAAATTACAGCATGATACCCACAAGGAACTAAGAGACCTAAAAAAAACCAAACTTGAGATGGGACCATGATATTAGGAAATTAGCAGGGATAACTTGGGCCTGCATAGCTAACAAGAGATGACAATGGGTCCAAGTACAAAGTAAGTATATAAATATGTGAGTGAAGAAAGCTACACCGTAATTGGAATGGAATAAGGAGGTACTTAATGCTACAAGGTGTGACAGTTTTCGCAAATTGGAGAAGTGAGACCTTAGCAGGGATAACTTGGGCCTGCATAGCTAACAAGAGATGACAATGGGTCCAAGTACAAAGTAAGTATATAAATATGTGAGTGAAGAAAGCTAAACCGTAATTGGAATGGAATAAGGATGTACTTAATGCTACAAGGTGTGACAGTTTTCGCAAATTGGAGAAGTGAGACCTTTTAATTAAAACTTTATGAGTGAATTTATATTGAGCTGGTATAAGCACGTTAATAATGTCTGTTCTGCTTCGATTAAATGCAGAAATGAGATCGCCACTGAAAATATGTCTTTTTAATGCCCTTCTTAATCCCTCTTAATGTAAAATTGCTACAAAGCTTTAAAAAATAAATCGCAAATATAAATTCTTTGTTTAAGTGATCTAACATTTACTATTACTGTTTCCTTCAACTTGAACAACAAGCTTTTAAATTAAAAAAATAGTGTATATTTTCTTAAGTTTAATAAATATGATTAACGTATTTACTGACATCATTAAGTTTATTCCATTTTCAAACACAAGTTTTTTTAATGAAATTATCTTCAAAAACTCGTTTAGAAGACAGAGAATCATAAAAAAAAATACTTAACTTAAAATGACAAAAAATCTTTCTTTATGGGGCGATAAAATCAGAAACAAAATTGGATAATAAAATCGAACCTAAATCCAACATACTTTAAAAGAAAAAATTCCCTGCTTTTTATAAGAAAGACTTAAGAGAAGATATTTTATATAGCAAAATAAGATTGAATATCCAAAAGCGTACAATTTTTTTGTGCCAAAATATTAACATAATTTTTATTTAATTTATTCTACATTTTCAAATTCATGGTTATCATGCAAAATCCGATTACGCTATTATTTTTATTGTATAAGCATTGACGAAATAAGATGGCGGCCTTATGAGCGATTTCGTGGCTCAAAACCTGTCCGATGTGTAGCTAGCGTAACCATTCACCTTGTCCGATATTTAGTTTTACTTCTGCGCGCTGATAGTTGTTTACAGCGCAGCGGTTAAAACTGTAAACTATACTGTAGTTTTGCTTTTCGTCGACAGACTGAGTGGTTGCCGGGTATGTTGCCAGAACTGCTGATAAATCCGTAGATTTGCGGATTTTGGGTACAGTACGTTAATAATACGGATTTTCTATCATTAAACAATTTAATATAATATTATATGATTAAACAAAGAACGGCGTCAGAGTTGGCTTGGAAATGAAGATCGCTGCTATTTCATATGTAAAATATTTTGGTAAATGTCAATAATGGTCATTTTCAAGCCAACTAAACAACTTTTTTTGATCATACGACATATTCAGTACCTATAAAATTTTTTTTTATTTTTGTTGTTTATTCTATGTTTAACATGAATAAATTTTCAATACATAGATGCGGATTTTTCATCCAAAGATATTTTCGTGAAACTTATTACAGATATTACACATTTCAATACGGCAACACTGTCGCTTTCAGAGCCACACCGTCTTCTAATGCCTTCGCCGGCCGAATTAGAGAAAATAAGTGTTTTATGCGTTGACTGTAGAAGGATTAATTGTCTCCACCATCTATGTATGTATGTATCTCTCCACCGTACATCAATCGAGACAGTAAGGGGAAATCAAATGAGCTTTGTCACGAATTCGCCCATCCAGGCTGCGTATATTCCAAATTCTTAAATCAACGGTAAAGTAGTAAAAATAGTAAATATTAACTCCATTAAATATAATTCAAAATATTTTATATATTTTTGAAATATCTATCCAAAAATCCAATATGGATGTTCCTTTACACTGCAAGAAAATCTACAAAATAAAATAGTTATTTTTTGTAAACACTTCTGGCGTTAAACCTAAACGGGAAACTGTTTGTCAGAAGTAATGTTTACAGTTATGTTTGCAGTGCAGTGCGATAAATTAAAAATATATTTTTTTATACCAACAATTGTGTCACACTTCAAAAAAAACATCGAAAACTGTTTATGATATAAACAAAAATACCTGTTAGAAAAAATCTATATTTTAGTGATGCCAATTAACAGAGTATTAAAACGAAAATATTTACACAAAATCCAACAAAATTGTGCGTGTACAGTTTAAAAGCTACTACCAATATGTTGTTTTGTGCATTTATAACTATTTTAATTTATAGTTTACATTACAGAGAGTTAAACATTATCCCACAGAAAGAATAAAAATTTGAAAAAATGAATTAGGACATCATCAATAAGTTTGTTTGTATAAGTAAATTATTAAGTAATATAAATTATTGTCCATATTTATTTATATCGAACTGGTTATATGAAACTAAATATACTAAATAACAGGAAGTGACTCCGCTGGCGCTGCTGGCGCGGCTTCCAAAAATTCGGAAGCACGGATGCCGGCTCCGGAAATAAATATGGCAACAACTTACCCCAGAGCTAAAAAAAATAGACTAGTAAAAACCAAACCAATCCCACCAAATAGCTAACCTAACCAACGTAATCAACCCCACCAAATAACCAACTTAACCAACGCCACCAAATAGTCAATCTAACCCCACCAAAAATAGTGAAACCAATGCAATTCGTATTTTGAGTGTTATTAAATATTTACAGTTTTTTTTTAAATAGAAACAGCTGTAAAAAAATAAAAAAGTTTTGGTCCGGCGTGGGATTTGAACGTGCGTTCTTTCAGCCGTCAATGAAACCGGATCCGGCAAATATTAAGGGAACCGGCTCCGGCAGCGGAGTCACTTTCTAAATAAAAACGTACCTTTTGAACTACGAAAATTTCGTAAGCTGCACATACTCCAGCAACTGTTATTCCTTGTTCTTTACAAAGCATAGCCGTTGCCGTAGCAATCATAGACAAACATAAATACTTCCAGCCTGTAAAAGGAAAAAATGATATCACTTTTTTAAATATTAAATACTACTGTTAATAATAATAAACAATTATCAATACTAGTATGTCTTTTATACACTTAAGGGATAAAAATTAAATGTATTGTATATTTTGCAGATTATATTTTAAGTATGAATTAAGTAACTTCAATTACGGAGATTTTTGAAAAAAAAAGTATACCTTAAATACGTATTAGTTTCACTTTACTAGAATATTTTTACAATTTTAATTTTTATACATATAAAATATAATGTCATAATAAACAATTTTTAATACATTTATGTAAATTTGATATGACAATACGTTTAAAAATGCAAACTACTTATTTAAAGTAATCAATTTCATATAATTTAATAATAAAGGGTGTATATAAATAAAAAACGCACTACTAAAAGATATAAATAAAATTAGAATAAAGTAATTGAAAGTATTTTAACTCTGGAATAAAAAACTTAGGTTTACATAATTTATGAAGTCCTGATACACATATTCTATAGCATATAATATTTTTTAAATAATTTTCCAGCAAATATTTTTTTTAAATGTACCCTTATTCATTCTACGGTAAATATATTTTTTATTCACACGTCACAAAAGTATTAGTTTATGTCAAGTGATTGAAAATATAAAAAAGTCATTTAAAGTAAAGCACTTTCACGCCTAAGCATAAAAGTACAAAAATATATTATTAAACTGACATAAAGTGTCAAATTCAACGAGCGTAACCAAAGTTTCTCGGTATATAATTAATGGCGAGGTATTACTTTTATTTTTTTATTTTTTATTTTTATTATATGGAACGTTTAAAATTGTTTAAAAATCATTTGTTACGTTTGAAAAAAATAGCATGTTCTATTCGGAGTAAAAATGACTTTTTGTGTCTCGCCTGTTATGCCGGACGTACAGCTTTGTCGGCGCCGCAAGAAATATCATTTTTACTCCTAATAAAACAATATATTATTATGTGATACTTTCACTTACCTGTATATTTCTTATATTTTGTTGCCTTTGAATAAAAGATAAAAGCAGCGAGAAAGAAAACCGATGAGAGAGTTTCTGCTCTGCCGACTACTCCTGTTACCTAAAAAAAATATTTTAGGTGCCCTGTCAACTATATTTTAATGAGATAAAATTACATGTTTTTATTAATGCTATATCTATAAAATTTAAACAAATACATATACAGCAATTGAGCATATATAGAGTATTGTAGCTAAACGATTAGATTTTTACAAATTGTAAGTTTTGGGTATGTTGAAGGACTGTTACAGCTACAATTTAAAAATATTTTTACAAGATACAGAGTGTCCCAAGAAAGTAAAAAATATTATAGTTGTATTTTTTTAAACGGAATACTCTGTAAAGTATTTCATTTTCAGATTCTACGATTGAAATGAAGGTAAATTTGATTAAGGTTTATCACACTTAAACCTTACCGTTTTTGAAATATTTTCAATTTTATGAAATTGCAGTAAAAGTTTTAATGCTTCATTTCTTCAAGGGTATCGAAGTTTTTAAGACTAAATATTTACTGAAGTTTATTTATTGATCAGATATTGTTTTGCAATAATAAAAATATTACTACTTCATACAGCGTGTCAAAAAAATTATTTTAAATAATTTCTAGCTTTTTTTAAAGCATTAATAGGCAATAACTTCTTTAATTTAAATGGAACATCCTGTATATTTTAAGAGAATCGGATGCACAATTTAATTGTCTATCAAATTTTATGGTAACATTTTTTACTATCTCTTCAAGTTTTTGTAGAAAATGCATTATCTTATATGTAATTTAGACCTCATTTATTACTATACCCTTGGAATATTGACATTTTAGATTATTTTTAAAGATGTAACAAATTTTCAAAGAGTACAGATGCTAATATTGTCGATATTAGTTCGCTTATTTAAAAAAAAATGTTTAAATATTTTTAGTTAAATTCGATCAATTAATATGATCCCAGTATTCAAACTGCATTCATTGACTGTTTATGTTGATTAGTAATAGTAAAAAACTGAATTTTGTATGTGTATTAGACAGTGTGGTAAGAAGACGTAACAATTTATAAATTTTATTTAATTTTTTGACGAATGCTTACAACACAGGCACGTTCATTTTGATAACTTATTATTGTATTGATTTCTGAGCCAAATCCACATTTATTTAGAATAATTTATTAATTAAAACAAGTAAGGATGTATTTAACTAATTTTTGGGCGGAAATAATGGTGGTATATTTATAATTAGTAATAATTATTGGTACACTCTTTTACAAAGATTTAAATAGTTTTCTTTTTGTAAACAAATGAGCTGGCAATATTATTATTTTTACCACCATGTACATTTTATACATATGTTGCTTTAAAAAAAATCGAAAATTTCAATATTCCATGGGTATAATAGTGATAAATGAAGTCTAAATTATAAGAAAATGCATTTTCTACGAAAACTTGAAAAGATAGGTAAAAATGGTATAACACAATTTGATAGACAATTAAATTGTGCATCTGATTCACGTAACATATACAAAGTGTTCCATTTAAATTAAACAAGTTATTGCCATTTAACGCTAGTAATTATTTAATATAAATTTTTGGACACTCCGCAGGAAATGCGGAGAAATAAAGCTTTAAATTTTTTAATGCAATTTCACAAAACAGAAAATATTTCAAAAACGGTAAGGTTGTAATGTTAAGTGTGATAAACCTTAATCAAATTTACGTTTAGTTCAATCGTAGAATCTAAAAATAAAATATTATAGGGTGGCTCATTTAAAAAACACAACTAAAATATTTTTTACTTGAACCACTCTGTATCTTGTAAAATTATTTTTAAATTGTAGCTCTAAGAGTCCTTCAACGAACCGAAAACTTATAATTAGTAAAAATCTAATCGTTTAGCTACAATACTCCGTGTCGTATGTTGTGAACTGGTATACATTTGAAAAAATACATTTGCATTTTGAATTCTATTTGAAATATATTTAAGTTTGTCATAAATATTCTACACGTGGATAAATGTATTTGAGAACCTTCTATAAAAATATAAAATATTAGTTTCAATAACTATACTGCTGTAAATTTATTTTCTAGGTGCTATATGCAACTATATTTTTCATGTTATGACCTATCTTTTATTATTGATTTACTGCATACGGTGGCAGAGAAATACACAAAAAGAATTTCAAAAAACGTGCCTAAAATATTACATCCTTTTGTAAGAATTCCATTCTGCGTGAGTAAGTGCGGAATCGATTCAATCTAATTTATAGATAGACCTCTTTACCCGACTAAAGTACTAATTTTATTTCAATTTCAGTTTGTCTTTCTAAACTAAAACAATAAAGAACTAACTAAAATGTATTTGTGGTTTTTCTATTTCCGGTTGTAAAGACAATAGAGGTAACCTTTCTATAAACCTCAAATTAGATCTAACTTGACAACAACAATACGAATAGAGTATAAAGTAAGAAAAAGGTCTCCAGGTAAGAGAACAAAACCCTTATTTTCTGTCGCTTCTACTATATTTTTAAAGACGAGTTCCAGGGCAATCATTCTTTTAGTAATCAATTGTTGGTATAGGTTCTATTGATAAAAATATACCGTGTGTTGCATCGCCGACCTGGACATAGGAATCCCATGTAAATTTAAAAACGATGAATAAGTTTTCCCCATTTTATTCTACAGAAAAATTTATTAGGATTTTTTTTAAAGAACTCCTTAAGAGTCTATTACCCGGTACTTTCGGGTCGCTCTGAGGGGTCGGGTAAAGCGGGTGTGTGGCCGAAGGAAATATATATTTATATATAATATTATATTTCAAAAATGTGCCTAAGGCTTAGCCCGATCCTGTCATGTTAGGCCACATCCAAAATTCCAAACACACGTGCTTTGATTAAGTTTTGCTGAGCTTCAGCATTTGCCATAAAATAGCGAGCAATTTGTTACAAAACCATCTAAATTATATATCACTGTAATCACAAAACTTCAATCTATTTCCATATTGTAACGGAATTTTAAATTATGTCTTTACTTTCGAGAAAATTTAGTCCAAACATAAGAAATATTTTGTTGATGTTTGACTATCAAAATCTTAAAAATTAAAGAAGTTGTCGAAAAATGTGCTACAATACGAATATAGTATAATCCTTTATCTTTAATTTCCTTCTTCATTTGTGTAAACTAATTAATCACTTTTACATAAAACGTTAAATGCCAAACGCTTATTTTCGAACTTTTTCGGACTAATGAAATGGACTCTTAAAATGAAGTAAATTATTCATTTTGCATGGTTTATACGAATTCGTTCTTGAGATATGAGTGATACAAAAATACTAAATTTTGCAAAAATAATACGGTCCTGATCAAATAAATATAACAATCACAAGTTATATCACAATATGATAAATCCATTGTAACTTTCCTCTACAGAGATCTGTCTAGCATATTCTCAGTTATATTCCCTATGAAAAGTTACAAAAAGTCAACTGTAAATATAGATTCGTAGATAAGTAAACACATTGCCCCAAAAAAGAAACTTTATTTATTAAACACTAAAAAATTCACAAAATTAAGTATTTTATAACATGAAAAAATGGCGAATTTTTCCCTACGTTCTTCACCCCCGACCAATAATTCTTGGTCTTTTTCGTCATTTTATATTTACAGTTTTTAATAACTATTCGCGTTGGAATTATTCTTCACTTACATTTATAATCTTCAATATCTGGTCTGGCATATATGGGAAATGTACCGAAAATAAATCCCTTACAGCTTGTACACTTTTTCGTCCATAATACCACTAAACCATTTTTTTTTTCTTTAGTGGTGTTATTCATATTTACAAATTATATTCAGCACGTATAAAGTCAATATGATATGAACATTTTTTTAAAAATGATGTTTTAAAATTATTTTTGGCAAAAATAAAGTCAATTTGACATTAGAAGATTGAATTGGAAGGTAGCATGTTTGATATTCTAATCAGGACCGTATTATTTTTTTGATAAATTCAGTATTTTTGTATCTGTCATAACTCAAGAACGAATTAGCATTCAAAACGAGCAATTTGCTTCATTTTAAGGAGTTCTTAAAAAAAGTTTTAAATATTTTTTGTGTAAAATAAAATGGGGAAAACTTATTCATCGTTTTTAAAATTTACATTGGATTTCCTATGTCCCAGTCGGAGATACAACAGACTGTATAGGGTGATTCACGGCGAAAGCAGCGAAGCACGATCTTCATCTTACAGCTATCGCTGACGCACCTTTTTTTTCGACCATACGGTGTTCATTTTTGAAAACTAGTTTCATATCTCATAATGTTTTTTTATTATTACATGCATCTCTAATAGATTTCGAGTTAAAAAAAAAATAAACGTGTAAAATTGACAGAAACATGATCCTGAGTAATAATCGGTAAAATAATAAATTGAGCATATTTAAAGTTCAGATTTTAGTTATATGTTAAGAAAAGTTGATATATTCTATGTGTCTAAAGCAAACAATTAGATATCACAGAGGGAGGAAAAGAAATTCCGTTTCTTATAAAACAGCTGCAATGTGCGTTGTTTTAAATTAAACCATATTCGTCGGCTTTATGACGAAAAGGCGACGATTTTTGCTACTTTTCAGGAGAGCAATTTAAAGAAAATCACTTACTTTATTTGGTCAATAAATGTAAAGTCTTTAATTTTTTAATAGTGTTTTTGTATTAACACTTAAACGGAGACATTGATGAAACGTTCTGAAGATAAATTGTGCGTAAATTCTAATAAATAATTTCTTTTAGTTGTTTAATAGAATAGGCCTTTTTGTTATAATAATAATAAATTTATTTCCGAACGAATAGTATACATACGCCCATATAAAATAAATTTAAAAATGATGGTAAAGTGTTCTTAATAAGGAAAAAAAATACAATATTCACATCTTGTAAATACATACAAGAAAATATAATATACATACAGAAAAAATCTGAAAATCACCAAAAAATCAGGAATTTATTCGCGTTGGATTAGATCAACTGAAAACAAAGACAATTTTCATTCCAGAAGCAAAGACAATAATCAATTAAAATACACTTATCTAGCTTATTTTAATAACATTGTTTTTTATACAAAAATACATTTTTTTAATTAATATATTTTTAGTAATTATTCAGTTAATTGAGGGCATTAATACAAGGCATTTAAACTCACGGTCCATTTAATAAAAACCAAACTAAACAAAAACAAAAGATGTTTCTTCATTCGTGTCTTTTTGATACAAATAACTGTGGACTAACAGTTTCTGTTTTCCCTGTTCAATGATAACAAATTCGACTTCCATTCTACGTGTTTATGCAGGATGATGATAGGCACAATAAATAAAATATTCCAAAAATTAACAGGGATGACAATGCCAATGACCTGACAGTGATAATAAGATAAAAATTATTGTATTTTTAGGGCAAGTTTTTGGTTCGCTAAAATGTTCTTAGGGGAATTATAATTTCGGGAATTTTTCCATCAGGGCAATTTTCGTTTCGTTGTTTTGCTGTCGATCAATCCAAATTTTCAAAAAAAAATCCTGTTCAAATCATCGGTTCTCCATAAATGTCTAACGTGCCATCACCGTGAATCACCCTATATACTCGTATCACACTTAATAATAGGATTTAAAACACAATTAGACATTTTCTAGGCGCTCTGAAATCTAGACGTATTAAATGACAATTTATTACTAATTTCTTTCTTTTTAGCCAATTTTCGCGAGACTAGTGGATCATTACAAATTAGTTAAGGGTCATCAGAAAAATATATCAAGAGAAAACACCACATAATTTTATATTACAGAACAAGTATGTATATCTTAAATCAGCGCAGAAATAAATACACTGACAGAGAAAATATAACTTTAGCAACTTATCGAGTGTTAAATGTTAACCAATAAAAAATGTACCGTTAAAAGTATAAAAATACAAAAAGACTGTTAAGCCTTTGCCAAGTTCTCGAAACGGATATATTTTTGGGAACGTACAATAATTCTTCTTAAGGGCTTTTGTCTATATTTTTCTTTTATGTTGAATTTTGTATTACTGAATTTTAGAAGGGACTGTCTTAGGAATGGCATTTTTCTTTTTAACATTAATTTTATTTTATTATCGCTAAACGTCTTAAAGCAGGCGACTTTCCCTAAAACTAAATAACTATACTTACTGCTTCTGTGTGTATTGGATGTACCGCAAAAAGCATTGCTGATATAAAACTGGACAATTTGGGTAAGAACATTGTACACATTCTGAAACAAACAAAAATATATTAGTATAATAAAATGCAGTAATTAATAATATAGAGATATTATAAAAAAATAAAAATATATCACAGCTAAACCAAATTTAGCAAATTTAAAAATATTCATTATTTATTGTTAAACTTTGTTTAATATTATACTCTAATTTTGAATTTATCATTTTTTGGTTCTATATTTTTTACCAAATTTATTAATTAAAAACAGAAAATTGTCTGAAATCCGGTATATATTTTTTACAAATTAATATCTTTTCTTGTGTGTTCACTTATTTTATAATAATGAGAAGATGTGAAAGAACCATCATATTTAAGTGGATATGGAAATAGAAGTTCGCTAATCATTAATCAATTTTATATAAAGAAACACCTCACCACTCACCTCACATTTTATTACAATTATTTGTAATAAAATTTTGAATAATTTTCTAAAAGTTTATATTTTAAAAAAAAATTGGTATATATAATTTCGGATGCAGAGCAAAAACACTCGCAGTGTTCAATATTTATATACGTTTACACTTAAACACTGCTGAGCTCTTTAAAATTTTATATAACATAATTAAATATAAATATGATTTAGAAAACATCTCTAAATTAATTAAATCCAGGTAATGTTTTTTTTTAAATTACTCTGGATTCCCATTAATTTTATGAAAAAATCCTTTTGAAAAGATGAAAGAAATGTTAGCCTAACCATCTTATCCTGGTCTTAATAATCCCTCGCCTCTTCAATAAAGTTGACTTCTAGTTAAAAAACTCTCGTAGATTTATGGCTTTATTATTAATTAAAGCCAAAAGTTCTTTAAAAATAATTAATTGATAATTAAACTTTTGCCCCACAGCTCAGGCGACAAAGATTAATGAATGCTAAGTAGAAATTTGTAAATAATTATGCTTAAGCATTGGGACACTTTTTAATTATTTTCTGATGGGTTATTATCAATAAGAAAACATCTTATAAAAAGAGCAAAACGACAAAATTCTATATATTAATTCAAATATAGTTTTTCTACTACTCAGAAAAAAGATAGCCTGCTCAATAATTAATATTCTTGAAGTTATTTGGAAAATATCCTATATTATACAGGATGAGTCTTTAAAAAGCTACTGTGAACCACGAAAAACACAAATTTTTCTGCGGAAATGCGTAATTTCCAAATTTCGCACTTTAGAATAACTGAAATCTGCCATAAAAAAAGACATTTTGCGTTTTATTTTTAATATTTTTCTAAACACAAAAATTTTCCTGCGGAAATAAGCTGTTTTCATTTTGTAAGGAAATTTATTAAACTTTAGAATAGCTGAAATAAGTTATATAAAAAATAAATATATTTTTGCCTTTTAGAAGCATTCACGAATTGAGGAAAATAAAAAATTTCCTGTGGAAATAAACAGTATCCAGGAAATTTAATAGACTTTAGAATAGCTGAAATCAGTTATATGAATAATAAATATATTTTTGCCTTTAAGAACCGTTTACAAACTCAGGAAAATAACAAATTTCCTGCGGAAATGCTTGATTTTCATTTTCCATTTGTTCCTTATTATATTATGGGGTCTTGTAAAGTATAAGCACCCACGAATTTAGCAATTTTTTTTGGCAGAAAGTCCTATGCTTATAGAACAGTTTAAAAGAAAAAAATCCTTGGATGAAGCACTTTTGAACCAAAAAAATCATTTAAAAGTGTCTAAAATGCTAACCAATTTAATATTTTTGCAAAATCACAGTTAATTATTAAAATATACAAGAAAACTGCATGATCCAATGATTTTTTGTTTTGAATCAGCCCTATTTACGTAAAGCTTTAATAAAAAACAAGAATAACTGCAACATTCCGAGGTACTTATAGTTTACAAGAACTTATATTATCTATTCTACAAGAATTGTTATTCCTCCGAAAATGTTTTACCCCACCCAGCACCCCTACTCGCTTCCGGGTCCCGTAAGCTTCTAAACTGAAAAATGTATGAAAAACAAAGTGCACAAAATGACATTGACACATTTCCGCAGGAATATTTTCGTATTTCTTTGCTCCTAAAGACTCGTATAAAACAAATATAAGTTCATTTTTCATGTAACTGATTTCGGCTATTCTAAAGTCAAAACATTTTTTTAAGTAAAATAAAAAAAAATTCCGCAGCCACTTTTTTGTGTTTTTATGTTTAGAAAAATATCTAAAACATACCTGGAAGACTAGTTTTGATGTAACAGATTTCGGTTATACTAAAGTCCGAAAAATGAAAATGACGCATTTCCGCAGGAAAATTTTTGTATATTTGTACTCCTAACGCCTTCTAGAACGCATATATAAAGTCATTTTTTATATAGCAGATTTCAGCTAAACGAAAGTTAAGCGGCAAATATTTTTAGGGGTTGTATATTCTAACCCCAGAAATACGTCTATGAAGTTTTTTTCGCAAAAAAAATAAAATTTGGATTTTTTTTTTAATTTTTAGTTAAAAAACTTAATATCTTTATGATATGGAAACATAGGTAGTAGGATTTACAAAAAAAACTAGAAAAGTTACACTGGTTCTCAAAATATAAGCGAAAAATATTTTTTTTCGAATTTTTTTAAAGTAAAATAGTTCGGTTTATTTGAAAAATGGCAAAGAGAAAATATGTTTCTTTTCTCGAGATCTACCAGCCGTGAAAATATATGCACTTATTTTAAATCACCCTGTATAAGCGTTTTAATAAGATAGAGATTTATATAGACAAAAGTTATAAAACATAAGGCTTATTTTTTACTTAATTTTTTAATTAAAATTATTCAAAGTTATACAAAAATAAATAGACATTTATTATATCTTTAAATTGTTTTTAAGATAGTATTATAAACAAAGAGCTTCTTTAGTACTTGGAGAGAACAAACACTAGGAGGTTGATACAATTCTTTGGAGTATTTAGACTCTCAGCCCATTTATTTTGATTTTTTCATCTATTTAGTTCTGTATTTTTTTACATGTCGTTATGTCCTGAAACGGTTATACAATTTTTAAAAATATTTTCTTGTTTGTCCACTCATTTGATAATAACGAAATAAGATGATAAAAAAACCATCATATTAAAACTGGATATAAAAATATAACTCTAAGAATAACTCTAATTATTAATGATATTAATATTAAAAAAAATCTCACCAAACATAAATGTGGTTAAGTGTTAAAAGCGGGATAATTTGTGGAAAATTTATTTATTACACAATGTCATATTTTGTCAGTACCCAAGAAGTACTTAATTAGGGTCACTACTGAAAATTTGCTATTTTATACAGGGTGTCCCAGGTTGAGGGTGCATTAGAAGTTTCTAGAGAACTACAACATCTAGCACAGAGATTTTTTGCACATCATAGTTTCCCAACGAGATCTATCGATTAAAAATATTTTCAATATGGCGACACTTCCGGAAATACCGGCAGTTCATAGCAACTTTCTTATTTTAAATGGGTACCCTTATTTTTATTACATATTTAAATTCTCTGTAAAATTTTATAAATTTTGATATCAAACACCCCATACCTAACATTGACCGTTTTTGAGAAAAAAAATATATAAAATTTTTGAACGAAAAATAATGGCCTGTCATAAATATGTGTATAGCTTAAACGTCAAGCAAAATGAATGAAATATAAATATGGTCTAGGAAACCTTTAAATTAATTAAATCCTGGCAAAGTTTCTTTTTAAATTACTCTGAATTCCCATTAATTTTATGGAATCATCTTTTTAAAAAGATGAAAGAAATGTTAGCCCTCACCATCTTATCCCAGCCTTAATAATCCCTCTTCTCTGCACTAAATTGGACTTCTAGTTAAACATTTCACTCTTGTGGATTTATGGCTTTATTATTAATTAAACCGTTAGTTCTTTAAAAATAATGAATTGATAATTAAACTTGTACCCTACGGCTTAGGGTAAACGTTTAATTAATAAAGATTAATGAACGCTAAGTAGAAATTTGTATATAATTATGCGTAAGCATTGAGTCAATTTCTTTTTTTCTGATGGGTTATTATCAATAAGACATGTTATAAAAGTATCAAAAAAATAGTATTTTTCTTAGCCTTCAGTATTCTTCGTAGAACTTAAAAAATACTTAACTGACCACTTTACAACACCAAAGAATGATTCTGTTCAAATATAGTTTTCCAACGACTCAGAAAAAAATAGCTTGCTTTTTAATTAGGTAATATCCTTAAAGTTAATTAGAGAAATAAAATCCAAAGTTCTAAATTATAAGGCTTGAAATAATTCAAAGTTACAAAAATAAATAGACAGCTATAATATCTTTAAATTATTTTTAAGATGGTATAATAGAAGAAAAGCTTCTTTAGTACTTGAAGAGAACAAGCACTAAAAGGTTTATAAAATTCTTTTGAGTATTTAGAATTTCAGCTCTTCTATGTTTAAAGTTTTTCTTTAACTTTAATATTTTGTGGAAATAAAGGGATTCTGAATGCAAAGTTATTAAATTTTATTTAAAAAAATAATGCTTAACTCTATAATCTAAAGTTTTAAGATAGCTATTAAAACATATTTTTATTTTTCATTTTTATTATCAAATTTAAAATGATTCCCGTTTTGTCAACAATCTGGCTAAGATTTATGTGACAACCTTGTAAAGTTACATGATAGTACATAATATACAGAGTGCTGCAAATTTGAGGTACGAGTATTGGTGGTCTCGAAACCGTAATAGATAATGAAGATGGTTAAATTGGAGCAAAGTTGCTCACTGGGATGTTCACCAAGATGCCATCATTTTTTTAAATGTCAAGGATTGCTGAGTTTTTTGATTTTTAATTGTATTTTTTTCTGTGTTACTTTTTAGAAAATAAAAAAAATAATTGCACATGCTCATAGCAACTTTAATGGGGCTATATGTAGTAGTATCTTTAGGTCTTCAAATTATCTGATCATCAGACACAGAGCCAACTATTTCTTTAAATACGGACCTACAATTTTTATTTCCGTTTA